ATAGTGAAAGCCTTTAATAGCAACAAAGCCCTTGGTTTGGTGTTATTGACGCTTTCATTACCTTGAAATATATGCGACATATGGCATTTGATAATTTTTGCCAAAACGTAAAATTCATCGATAGCGATCTTTCCATTTCCAAGTTTTTCTTAATACGTAAAATCACTCCCAATTGCGACAATCTAGTATACACATATAATCATTCCTTATGTTTATGTTTTTGTAAGCTTTTTTCAAACAATCTTTTTTTACTTTTTTTTTTTCGTTTTAAGGAAAATGTGACCATCTCCTTTCAACATACAAAAAAAAAAAAAAGTAAAATGTGGTGCTTATAATAAACAATATAAAAAATAAACAAAACACAGTACTTGCGCAAATTTATTATTTGCAAATTATTTCAAATGTTTGAGTTCGAAACGGTTTGTTTAGGGTATTCTTTATTTTTTTTAATGTTTTTTTTTTATAATACTGTCTCTCTATAAACCACGTCCTCAAATAAAGTAATAGTGATTAAATTTACATTATTTCCTAAATAAATTCCTTTCAAACAAAGCAGATTTATTTATTCTTAAGTTATTCAAATATAATTGTTATTGGTTAATATTAATTGTAACATGGTTAACATAATAAAAGGTCAATCTTGTGAAAACTCTATGTTTTAGATGCAGTTTATCTGTATTCCACAATTCGCAACCAACTCGCTTTGATGTTGCTCATCGAACCACTTTATTATTGAACTTCTGGTTGGTGAGTGCGCGTTCTACGATTAGTTATTCTGCTCAGGTGCAAAGCCCTTCCATATCTTATCACGATTTCAAAAACATTGATTAGGTTGAGCACTCTTCCTGCTAAGTTGGCTTTAATTCACCTTTCTCCTTTAGAACTCCTAACATCAACTCATAGCAGTCTCTCTTAAATTTTTTAAACGGGACTTTGTATACCTTTGTTCCAACTGTTCGAAAGAAAATGTGTAATGAAATTGGTATGTGAATGAAGTCAATTCGCATTCAGGTTGGAATATTCTTAAGAGATCTTACGTACTGAGCTTATCAGTCATGTGCGTCGGATGACAACAGAAAAATGATTTGAAAGGAAAGAAAGAAATATTTCGCCAAACTATTTTCTGAGTTGAGTAGTTATGGTTGTTGTATTGATAATGACTCTTTATTTTTGAAAATAGGGTAAAATCGAATGCCACGCCTATAAAAATTGTATAAAACTATTGAGGAGACGTACAAGGGGAGATGAATGCACATTTTTTATACATTTATATAAAAAAGATTATATATTATATTTCAAGCACTTGTATGAATATATGGAAAGAATTATCATTTTATTTTTGAAAATAGGGTAAAATCGAATGCCACGCCTATAAAAATTGTATAAAACTATTGAGGAGACGTACAAGGGGAGATGAATGCATATTTTTTATACATTTATATAAAAAAGATTATATATTATATATCAAGCACTTGTATGGAAAGAATTAACATCAAATTTTTCAATTTTTCAAAATAATTAACAATAGATTAATATGAGATTTTCATTTTTCCCAAATAATCCCAGTTTTTATATTACTAAGATAATATCCTTATATACTACGAGCTTTTGGTTTTTCCATTCCTTTGCCGCTACACGAATATTCTATATAATCTTCGGTTTGGGCCAACAGTAGCGATTTAGCGATTTAGGTGGTGCTTGCAAATGTTCTTCAATGTTCTTCACCGCCATACTTTTCCACAATATGTTCCTTCGTCTGAAAAAAAAAAAAAATATATTATTGCACGGTTGTAATTGAGATCTCTAAATACTTTACGATTTTTATATCTTTAAACAATTTGATGCAAGGTTATTAATTCAGCGGCTAAAACGTTCTACATGTCGGGGGGGCAGATCAATGTCCCAATTGTATTCTGCGGACCCAACGGGGCTGTTATGGGCGTGGCAGCTCAACATTCTCAATATTTTACGGCTTTGTATTCCCCTTTTTTTTTTCATCAGCAGTTCCTAGAGGAATTGCAGTGTTCTTTAAGTCATCTTCTTATTTGATTTCCACAATTGAAACTATGAACCATTCCCGAGGTTAGGAACAACGCGAACTCGGTTTTTGGATTTGTTTCAGAACCGGGTGACAAGCGTTTCGCCAGCATCATTGGTATCACGGAAAGTACGTAGAATATTAAAACAAAGAAGGGATAAAAAATCTTCGGTTGTGGCACAGCACAAGCCAATATTAAAAAGGTCATAATAATAACAAATAATAACAAACACTAAATCCACGTCTTTTCGTAATAAAACATCATCAATTTTGTTGGTAAAAAAAGCGATATTTTGGGATGATGAAAACTCTTCCGCTTCTTTTACGGTTCGTCCCCAAAGAGCTTTAATTTCAAAACCTTTTTCACGTAAAATTGGCACCGTCATTACAGGAAGAAAGAATTTTTAAGAGCTAAATTTAAACAAATAATACATATATATAAATAAATATAAGATTTGGTTAATGCGATAATTAACTTAACATAGGTACAAACCGAACAAACTAATTGAGTGAAAATGAAAATTTTTACTTTAAAATTAGTTCTAGACTATTTGGCCTCCGAAAAAATAACGTAAATGTATAAAAGAATAAAAAATCAAGTTTTCATCGCGTACGTATAATACATAAATTAGTTATAAGAAATACTAAAAGCACAATCCAAATTAATTGAATTTACCGAAATTTACTTAGATAACTCAATAATTTGTAAAATTCAAACACAAAATATACTAAGTTTTAGTACAATTATTTAGCATGACTCTCAATGCAACTTTAATGTCGATGTCAGTCACACCGATAAGCTTAATAACATTGGAACCTCTAATAGATCTTTTTCATTCAGATGCATTTCGAAAGATGTTTGTTTTTTTCTATATTAAACTAATTTTTCCTTATATTTCCCGTTTTTAATACTCCTTAGTAACTCTACTGAGGCTCCATCGGAGTTCGGAAAGTGTTGTTTCAGTTCCGAAAGCTAAACTTACTGGTATTTTAGATAATCTTTCCGTTCCCCCTGTCTTGTCCGGGATTGTCCATATATTCTTAAGCACTAGATTCTATCTCTTGTCCATAATATCACCTCACAATACGCGGGGACGCACCATCACTTCCTTATTGCTGAACTTAACCGTTACTATTAGGAGTAATGTGAATAAGCACATCTTGATGTCATTAGTGTCTCCGGACTCATCCGACGCCTTTAGTTTCTTTAACCATTCCGATTTAATTAAAAAATTGAGTAGGCTATGTTGGCCTTCTAAAACTTCTTGTGGGCTTATTCGTTCCTACTTAAAGGATAGACTTCAGTTTGTTGATATTAACGGCACTTATCCTGAAATTCTTCCTTATTCTCTGGGTTGCCACTGGGTTCCGTTTTAGCCTCTCTTCTTTTTATTATCTAAATTATTGAAATCAGTATTTGTAGACCCCCTTTGTTTGTGTTTTGTACTGATCGGAATAAGCAGGATGCTCTTGAGTTAAACATTAATTATAGCCTTATACGTTTTCTGGAATTGTCATTTGACAACTCTGGTTATCAAGTCAACCAAATCCAAAGCTGTGCTGTTTGTAAATACTGAATATCATCTTCCTGTGGTTGATATGCTTATTTGCGGCAACATAATTACTATTGTTGGCCAACTTAAATGCACGGGCGCACATAGATTACATACATGGTAAACTTGTAGACACTCGGCGCAGAATTTACACTAATAATATTTATGTGCCTCAATCGAGGCCTATGGTCTCTTAATGCAGCATATTCTAAATGATTTAGAAGTGATGTCTGGCTTACTTCGGCTTATACTTTCTCTGGATTAACCCGTATTGCCCATATGAGTTGTTGTTGACCGCGCAACGGTATGTTTACAACATCCACATCTCCGAACATGTAAAATGCTTCCTTGGATGCACCTTTAAGAATTTTACCCCTTGTCGGAGATTCCCCCTTTAAAGTGCTCTCAAATATGATCAGTCACCTCATCTTTGTTCGAAGTTTTCCTTTACTCATTCCACCAGATGTCCGCAAATTACCATACCTAGAATTAGATCCAACAGCTACGAACGATCTTACATAGTTCTAGCTGCGCGTTGCTGGAACTTCTTGCCACTTAATGTAGTTATATTCTTTCATTCTAATAACACATTTCAGTTGAACCTTTTTTCCCACACTTCTGTTAATGAGTACAATACTCTGCTTTATATGTTATCTGCGTTCTATATGTGTGCTCATCGACTATCGTTTTCGTTTATTTTTTAACTAGTAACTGCTGTTTTAACACTGGCTTCGTTTTTCTTTAGACGTCTTTAATGCTACCGTTTTTGATTTGATTCTTCACTGAGACATTTCCTTGAATTCCTCTTCCTTAAGTTTATTTCTGATCCTTCAATTCGTAGCTTGTAACTCCTAATTTGTAAGTTAAAAGTTCTAAAATATAATATGAGTTTGTAACTTTTCCTATTTTATTATAATATTATGGTATGATCTGTATTATATTTTGTATTATTGGTGTTCTGTTCAGGAACTTGCTTTGCAATTTACATTTATTGACCTAAAGAAAGCCTATATTAATGGAAAGGAATAAATAAACAAAACCTCTTCGTAATTCGCCTAAAACTTCTAGGCCTCCATAGTACTAATCTAGTAACAATAACTTGCCAATTTTATTCTATTGCAGCGATATAAGGGAGAGTAAAATTGTTGTGATAGATAAATGGTAGTGGATTTAGAAAGTGCGGACCCAGTCGAGGATAACTTTCCATTTGTTTATTACTACGCCTACTATTTACGTACATAAACATTTTATTCCTTTCATTGAACTATACATAATTGTTCAATTAGAAAAAATTTCAAAATACTGCTTTATTGTGCACAATTCTATATTCGACATAAGAAATTTATTGAAAATGATTGAATATTTTGACTAGAACTTTAAATTATTAAATCCTGTTTTCTTATCCACTATTGATATTTTATATATCTAAAAGTATATATTACATACGAAGACAAGCTATTGTGAAATATTACTAGGAAAAATAGCTTAACGTAAAGCAACACATTTACATAAAAATTTACAAAACTAAGTATTTATAAAAATGATAACTCTAAAATCTAGATACTGTTGTTGATTTGGGTTTGGAAGGGCTTGTAGTATGATTAATTGTATTTTTACAGTCCACCGCACTTGTTCAAACTTCATGACTAAGCAATGGCGTGTCATAATAACGTAGAGCGGAAGATGATGAATTAAAACTAGTGCAAGGGAGCAACCAGCAAGCTGGGTGTCCTCGGCCGAAGACGTCAGCTAAAAGGTAAAATTTACGGCGATTGGGTCGATGGGAGCCCTTCTGTTGAGCTTGTTCAATTGCTGTTTCATCATACAATATGGCATGCATTTGATCAACCATTATTGCCAAAACAAATAAGCCAAATAAAGCTGATTCTATTAGCAAAATGACGCAATGAAGTCTGAAAAAAAAAGCCGATCAATTTTCTTCGTTTACGAAATTATCACAAAATTCTCACAATCTAGTCTGTCCCTCAATATTTTCCGAATTACATCCTTCACATGGATTAATTAAGGAGCCCACTACTAAGCCCGCAGAATATATAGCCAGGACACCTACGTAGACAAGGAATTGTAGAAAATACTTTTGATTACGTTCTCCTACACAGTTATTTATCCAAGGACAATGGTGATCCATTCGTCGTATGCAACGCTTACAAATCCGACAATGATGTGCTCTAGGCGGTCTATAAGTTTCACAACGTGTGCACACTGTCCATTCGTTACTACTATTTCCATTACCAGTACTTTTCCCTACAGTATGCATGTCTGAAAAATCCAAACGATTTGCTGGTAAGGGTACACAACCGGGATCGGACAAGACCGCTTTCAGGTGAGACATTGCCAATAGGAAGACTACCGTATTAAAGGAAACCACATGCAAGGGAGCCCATATACTAAAAATACAAAATTTCTCGTGCGTGTTCATGTCATTTTAATTATCTTTAAATATTTACTTAGCTTGCATTGTTTGTAATATAATCCATCTCATAACTACATAGTCTGCATAGATCACCATAATGTATGTGATTATTAAGCATATTATTCCACAAGGATCTTTAACAAATCTCATTTTATGGTGCTATTTTATTTATTTGCTTTTTTCATAGAATTTTATGAAAGAATACATCGCCAACTGTACCAACCATCACCACATATATCTTAAGTAGACATTTTCTGCATGTGGTGGCTTTAAATATTTCTTTTCGTAGTCTCAGCACATTTACTACAAAATTTGTTACTTATTTATATTTCTATAAAGGGAATTGCAATTTTCTCTCCAATTTCGATGCTTTTACAAACATATATTTAGTTGACTGTCACAAGCTATACATACATAAGCATAAGCACGTATACTACATAACTTATAAATGGACAAAATATGTAAAACTTAACGGAATATAACCCTGTTTGCGAACAAATTGAAACTCTACGCTCTGTTATAACTTTGCGATTGGTATTGATGGTCGCATTCAATGTTAAACCTGTAGGGTCAGCAAATAATAATTGTTTTTTCTTTAATTTTTAATAAAGCCTAAACGAAAAATGATACCAACATGAATTATTTCTGTTTTAAAATAATTTCATGTAAATAACCTCACTATATGTCAGTAAAAACGCAATTCTGAAACAATCGTGTCAACCACTTTTGCACTAAAATCTTTAGGGTAATCACGTTTCTTAAAGCTAACATTCACTCGAAAGGACGGCGATAGTTGATTAACGTTTTTTTGGGCTTCATGTACTCTCATTTCACTTTAGTTGCTATCACTAGTCTGTGAGCCCTTTCACACAGATGGTATATTAAATAGGAACACACCCACACACAAATTGGAGACCATGGCTGTATTTTAGTTATCGCTTAGACTTTTTTGTCGTCTTATGTTCTACTAGTAACTTTTAAGTTTTCATTCAAATTTAGTTTTATCTTTGGACAGTCTCGTTTATTACGTTTTTTTGACTTTTGCCGTAAATTTTAATTTTTATCTATGTTTCGCACTTTCGCTTTTGGCTTGGTTTTTGCTTACACCGCGTCTTGATCATTCCCACGAAAAGCAGAAACCTTCACCAATGAAAGGTTAAGTTTTTTGAGTATTGAATGGAGATTAGCTTGTAAATGTCGGGTTGCCTTTTTCGATGGAGGTTGGAAGGCAGAAAAAATTCGTTCAATGAGTTGCATAAAATATTTAACATAGGGCTGCATCACATATGTAATAATTTGAATGCTATGGAAACTTTTCTTAATGTTACTTCCAGCAACATTACAAAATATACGACTTCCTAAGCACTAACACTTGTGTGCTCTGAAGATTATTACCTGGTCGTGAGTTATATATTTAGATCTATAACTGTCAACATTTACAAACTCGAGCAAATAAGTAAAAAAATTTAATTTCTGTAATCCATATTGACAAATGATAAATAAATAATAATAAATATAAAAATGAATAAATAAAGGCAAAAAACGTCGTCTATTTTGAGAAGTGGAAACTTGGAAAATTCGAAAAGTTGCTTGGGTTGAATGAAGCAAAGGGTTGCCACATAAGCACTATCGATGATACTCCGTTGACGCTTCTCTTTTTTTTTGTTTCTTCAATACATTCGCTTCTTTTTAGGTCGTGAGCTATTGTTGTCACAAGATAGTCGATGAGAAGAACCTCTTCATTTTGCTCCTGTAGTCTCCGTCTTGTAAAATTTTACAGATACATCGCTGCAACTGATGCATTGTAAATGATATATTTGAGAGATTTTTAAGTGATATCGTATAGTAAATTCTAAATTCTATTATAATATACCGACTTGAACCGCCTTCACATTGCTAAACTTACATGTGATTCGTATTGTCACCGCGCTTGTGGTGGTTACATCAATCACTGTTTCTATTGAACGTGTGTAATAGACACTGTAGTATATATAAAAAAAAAAACCAATGACAAGGAAAAAAAAGGAAGGGGGGAGGTTTTTTTTGTCAAAAAAAAAGAGAAAAAAGGAGGAATTTTCTTGCGGGTGAAAAAAAAAACAGAAAATAAAGTTTTCTTTTTTCTGTTTTTTATTGGAAAACGTGGAACGTGTGAACGTACATTAGAGAGTGCAGGAGTCAACGTTCGCTAGGTTGCGGCGATAAAAGTGGAAGAAGTATGCCGATATTTATCGCAAATATATGTTTTAAAATTAGGAAAAAATAGAAAAAATGGCAGAAACTTTTTTAAGCAAAAGAAAAGGAAATGGAAAAAAACTTCAAAAATGCGTAAATTGATATAGCTAAACCGTTGGTCGGCTGCGGATGTTGTACGAGTGACATTTAAAAAAACGAATACATTGAAAATAAAGAAAAGTTGGCGAATAATGTTAAGAAAGACCATAAGTATTGTTGTAATTTAAAAATAAACGGACAAACAAATTCTTCGAACATTATTGAGTACTGAGACATATAAAAAGGAGACGAAAACGCAAAGCCAAAATTTAGCAAGCTAATGTAAAAGAAAATGAAAAACAAGAAAAGATCAATAATTCGAGCAAAAGAACACTTCTCTTCACACCGTTTTACTTAACTTGGGTTTGCGCGTGGTGTCCCTGAGAGGCAGAATTAATGATTGAAATTTTTTTTGTTATTTTTTTCTTAATAATATTCAAAAAATTTATAATTTGTTAAAAATTCTTATAGCTGCGGCGATGCGCATCGACGTGGTTGTTAGATTTGGTAAGTTTCTTACAAATTGTTAAATTAAAATAAACTAAATTTTCCCTTTATTTTGAATAACCTTTTGTCATGAGACTCGTTACTTTCATTGCCGGCTGAGTATTTGTCTTCTTCTGACAAAGAAATAAAAATAAAATTAAAGGAAAGTCCCGTCGGTTGTCTACCGTCCGTCTGTCCACCGTAAGTCAGTCTGTAACCGTCTGGAGTCCTCCCTACAGTGCCATCATATGCATACCCCTTCGTCTCAGCCACAGCAGTGGCAGCTCGCGCTTAGCCACTCATCGGGGACAAAAAAATTAAATAGACTAGAAATGACTTACAATACAAGCATCGGCGTCGGTGCAGTGTCGGCCGCGGTAGCTGCTACATCCGCAATCCCTGCTCCTCTTTCTATTAAGCCTTTTCCACTCCAATACAAACTTTAATTTCCATTGCTGTGTGCGTAGGTGCACGCGGGTAAACGCTGTTTGCAATAATAAACTGGGATCTTTTTGATGATAATGTTGAAGAACTTTTTTATTAGCAATTTCCTGAGTTTTTATAAATAATTTTTACAATTTTCTTTATCTTATTTAATTAATTTCTCTTCCGAACAAATTTCTTAAGCCGTGCAGTTTTTTTTTCCTTTACTTCAATTGCGTTTACTTTGTCAAGTTGCTGTATTGGTTACTTTTTTTTTCTTTTTTTTTTTTATGTAAATCCTTTTCTATTTTTTATTATAAAACATTGTTCTGTTGATAAGAAAGCTTTTTTGCTTCTTGTTTGACAAAAAAAACGTATTGAAAGAACGGTGCAGCCATTGGTCTTGCCTTGCTTCTCTTATGCTTCTTTTAATTGTTCCACCTTCTTTTTTTTATTGTTTTTTTTCTGTTATTTGAGGTTTTAATTAAAATTTATCCTTTTTTTTGAGGTTTTAATTAAAATTTATCCTTTTCTTGAATTTCGATTTTCAGTTTGAGCCCATATTTCAGAAAAAGAAAAAAACAACCACGGCTCAGCCGTACAATCAAAAAACAATAGAAAAGCAAGCGCACTCTTTGAGGTCTACACTGCAACTCAACTAGAACTAAACTCAACTTAAAACTATCCCCTCTGACTTAAATTTAAAACGCAGACAGACTTCTCATCCTTACCCAATTTCCCTCTTCTTCTTCCTGTTGCTCTCTCTCTCTATAGCGGCTTGCCGCTACTCTCACAAAAGCAAGCATAGATCCCGCAAAATCATACGATTTTGCCTATGCTTGCAAAAGCAAAAGGAAAAAAAAGGAGTACCGCAAAATCATACGATTTTGCCTGTACTTGTAAACAAGGAAATCAGAGAAGAGCAAAATAAACATATCCCGCAAGATCATGTGATTTATAAACAGTACTACAAAATCGCATGATTTTGTCTAACGGCATGCCGTTATTCCGATACTTGCGGTTGATACAGACCGACAGACCCCCCTACCCACGGTTTGTTCGCGGCCTTTACACTTTTTTTTCTTTTTAATTTATAATTCTGTATATCCATTGTTAATTATAAATCATTTTCAATATCCTATAAATTGTAATAGATTATTCCTGTTAAGTTAATGCGGTGAGACGCAAACGCAATACCTGAGTATCACGTCGGGTTCACCAGAATGTTGAGGTTATGATTTCCTTGTGTTTGTTAGCGCGTCTGACACCAAACAACAAATGATGAGACGTGCCAATCACGTCGGTCACCAAATGTTATGTTAAGGTGTTTTCTTCCAAATGTATTTATTAGCGTGTCCAACGTGGACATTAATCAAACAAGGGTACTATATCCTCTTGTGCGGAATTGTCAATGCCTTCTTAGCTGGCAGGATTCGACAAGACGCTGCAACAAGTCGTACCAACTTACATAGATTTGGTTCTTCCAGCACTTGGAACTGGAAGATACCACAAAAGAGGTAGCTGGTCAGTGCAATGTTTTTAAACGTACAGAGACAAAGACGGCATAATAGGTTGGTGTAATTCGGTCTGGATTACGTAATAAACGATATTATTGTCTGTGGTCAGTTATACCAAACAGACATAAAAAGTGACTGCGCAAATGCAAGTGCATGAACAATATTTTGTGAATGAGTGCACATTCAACCAAACTTGAATGTGCAAAGCAAGAATAAAATGTCAAATGAAAGTGTGTATTTAAAATAAAACAGATATACCTAAACAAACTACGAGTAAAAATAAAATATGTATATTTCAACCGAACAATTCCTTTTCTTTTATATAAAAAAGGGTAAAAAAAAAGAAATCACATAACTGACGTTGAAATTATAAATTACATTAATTATATTTCCCTATAAACTCTGTTTGTTATTACTCTTTCTATTTCTTTCTTTGAAAAATAAAATGTATTATTATTAAAAATATAAAAATACTGGTAAGACTTCCTGGTGGTGACTGAGGAGCGAGGGAAAAGTAGTACGGATAGGGCTTAATAGTAAGCACATTATTTTTAAAATAATGAAATATTTGTAGCGAAACGAAAACTTATCATGAGCCTATTTAAATTTTATTTTTACGTAACCTATCCGACGAGGCTAGGAAAACGTGCGTTAGGTTCATGGTGTTATTAAGAATGTAATTACATCCGTGCAAAGGTTAGGTGTCTAAAACGTTACACGTGTGCCGTCTTTTTGTTGAGCACTGTAAGATTGAATACGACTTCTATTTTCAATTACGCTCCCCGCTTTCGGTCTATTCGTTTGTTACTTTGTCGTCGTGATGTTAAAGC